AGCCCGGCCGTCACCCGTGTAATCCCACATCACACTCATCAATGGGGTGCACCCCCCCAGGCGAACCCCAAAACCCCCCATCCACACCCAGGGACTATTTACCTGGGAGCTACCTGCTCCGAGGACATGGAAGAGGGGGGACACTACTGCCACCACACCAGAACAGTCCCTTCTTCTCCAGTTCAACCCAGTTGGCTGCCTCTTGCCAACGGGTCTCATGGGCTTTTCCTACTCCATCCCATCAATGCTCCATGTCTTTCCCCCCCTGGAATCCCGTCCCACCCTACCTATATAGTGCTGGACCAGCTGCTGGACGGTGTCGAACTGGGCGCGGGTGGTGATGTAGTAGCCCCCGTTGTCAAGTTTCCGGATCTTATAGTGCTTCACGTGGTCTCCTTTGGCCTCATCCCAGTCCCGGATGGAGAGGGAATAGGCACCTGGGTGGGGGCACGGCTCAGGGGGGGATGTGGGGTGCACCCCCCAGCGCCCCCATCCCTGTCCCCGTACCTTTGGTTGTCTCACTCTCCCGGATGAGGAAGGTGCCCCTGCAGTTGCTGTGACACAGGAGCTGCCGCTCTGCATCCTTGCGCCCGATCTTCCCAAAGTACCACCTGCAATGGGGCTGGGCTCAGCACCCCACGGGCCTAAGGAAGATGGGGTCGGGCTCTCCCTCATCCCTGTCCCACATCTACTCACTCTTCTGCCTGGATAGAGTCCACTGGGGCCACGTAGTTGCTGGGGATGTAGCCGGTGGTGCCCGAGCTCAGTGACCTGGCCTCCCACCAGTCACCCTCCCTGTGTGAAGAGGAACATGGAGTAAGCAGAGGGGACAGTGGGAACCCCCAGATCCCGCTCTGCCCCACCAGGACCCTTGTCTCTGCTGAGACCACACAACTCATCACACGCATGGCTCTGGCTCTCTCATAGGTACTCAGCAATAGAGTTGAGGGGCCACAGCCCGGGTCTGCAGGGTACCCATGGCATGGGGACACTGGGGGTGACAGGAGGGTCCAGGGGGGCTCACGTGTTGTTGATGATGTGGAATTTCTCCCCTTTCTGGAAGGTCAGGTCATCCTCCGTCCTGGCCTCGTAGTCGTACAGGGCGATGAAGAGTGTCACACCTCCGCCTGCAGCACATGGAGGGGACCACAGTGACCTCCACGCACCCCCTCAGCACTTCAGGGGTGCACCAAGACCCCCCAACTGACCTGTGATGCCCCCGCTCCGCATCGGCAGCGTGTTGGAGGTGAAGCCCCCCAGCCCCACCAAGGATGGAGCCGCAGGGATCGCCGGGGCGTGGAAGGTGTTGCAGGAAGGCAGGGATGCGGGGGAAGATGGCACCCGGCTGCGTGGGGTCGGGGTCATACTGGGACACAGGGGGCTGGGGGGGGCCCAGCTCACCCCCCGCTTGCCCTTTGCTGTTCCGCTTCTCTTTGCAGTGCACACAGCCCATCCCGGGCACGACCTGCAGGACAGAGGGACCATGAGCTCCACGGGCACAGCACACGCATGTGTACACGTGTGTGCAAGCATGTCCCCGTGAAAGACCCCCCAGCACAGCCAGCAGCAGGGAGCAGGCTGGGAAGAGGTCTGTGCATCCCCCCCGGCACCCATGGGTGCTCCTGTCCATAGTGACCCCACTCACTGCAACAGCTCCTCAGGTCACTTCAGCTGCTCCATGTCACCTCAGGGATGGGAAGAGGCTCCTGTGGACAGAGGGGAGGGCAGGAGGTGGAGGGCAGGAGCTAAAACACCTCCCCAAGGGCAGCAACACCCCTGCACGGGCTGTGATACCCCCGCCATGGGTTGTTTCACCCCTGCATGAGCTAAAACACCCCTGTAAGGGTTGCAACACCCCTGCATGGGCTGCATTACCCCTGTACAAGCTGTGACAACACTGCATGAGCTAAAACATGCCTGCATGAGCTGAAACACCCCTGCACAGACTGCAACACTCCTGCAGGATCTGCAATAGCCCTGCAGGAGCAGAAGCACCCCTGTATGGTCTGCAGTAGCCCTGCAGGAGCAGCAGC